TTGGGAAATTATTCATAAGTCTGGGATATTGCAGCCAATGCTAAGCACAACAATGTCTACCATCCTTGATGGCATTTTCAGTAGGCCAGTCAAACTTCAGATTGTGAATGTATTTAACACTCACAATGCTAACTTTTATTTGTCACTCCACTAAAATGGTTGCAAACACATTCAAATCTCCCCGCATCCTGCAGTCTTCCTTCATGGTGAACCTGCTTGGATGACTGTGCATGTTGGTAGATGTCCTTTACTTGTACACTTTTTTTTCCCCAGGCAGTAATATAATAATAGTAATATAGTGATCCTGAACTCTTTTGAGACTGGTTTAGGTATGAAAAGATAGATATTATATATTATTGTTAAATATGTTAGGATAACAGACTTTTACAGGTTGTCGTATTATTTTTGCACAGGATTGTATATCCATATACCCTGTATATTGAAAGTGCTTATCACAAATTATATGGTTTTTAAGTTGTTCAGTGTTGTTTTTTTTTTGTTTTTTTTATCCATGGTTTATTGAGAACGAGGACCAAGGCTTAAAGAAAAACAGAGGGACCTAGGAGCTCATGGTAGGTGGAGGGTGAGTCACAGCACGGAGTGTAATGTAGCGTACTCTCTGAATCTAGATCACTGAACAAACCAGTGTTTCTTTTGTAATTTCTCATAGCAGTGATAGACGGATTTCACTTCCGTGTGTCTGTCCCAGTTTTGTCAGCAGTGCATTAACAGTGCTGATGCTACAAGGAGGTTGAAAAGTTCAGAACAACTTTAAAAATAGCTATGCACTGTAACAGAGGTAAATAGTTTAGAGAGGTTTTATTTTTTTATAAGGTAGTGTCAGGGGGAAAGTTTTGGATAACCAGTTGTAAATGAGAGGTTTCTTTTTTTCAGTTGATTGGAAATAAATCTGTTTAAACAAATTATTATTATTTCTAAAATTAAAAAAAAGTCTTCCATTGAAAGAATTGCATTGAGTCGTTGACTTAGCAGATGTTCCTCCTGGATGAGCATGTGGTGACAGTAGATATTCACTTGCATTTTTGCTGTTGACTCTCTTCTTTTTTGCAATAAAAAAGGTTTCATTCTAAAAAAAAAAACTAATATGTAATACAGGATAATGTTATGATTTTGAATCTGTAGCATGGCCCTCATGGGGCCATTATTAACTCCATGCACAATCCCTTCTCTGGCCTTTTAGCTCATTTACTAGAATCCCTTCAGTGTATGTGAACATTATTCAGCAAGTAAGCATCTTTGATGCAAAAATATGTGCCTTTCTTAGTGTGGTAATAAAAAAAAATTATGAACAGAAGAAGTTTATCTTTTGAAAGGGCCTATCCATTAATCCACCCTGCTTAAAATGGATGTTTAGAGCATAGAACAGAAGAAAAAACTTCATTTTAGCAGTCTATGTTGAGCAGGAGCTCATCTCTTTTATATAAGGTCACCCTGCCTCTGAAGAAATCTGGAAATCCTACAGCTACTGAAATGCTTGGCATGCAGTTTGAAACTGTGAACTGACTTAAGTGTTTTTGAGGATGACATAAAAAAAGCCAAGTGGCAGCTCGTCTTTACTCTCAAACTTTCATAAGCATGGAGGGCCAAAGCAGCCAAAGGACATTATTAAAACACAATACATTAATATGTGTGATGATTTTATAAACCTGGTAAAAAAAATTAATTACAGAAGTACAGTAAATCCATTTAAAGTTTAAGTTATCTAAGTAATTTATGAAAAAACATGATTAACTATGTTAAATTAAAATCTTTAATGCAGAATAATTAAAATCATATTGATCATTATTATAATTATAATAGTTATTTAACATAGAGTTTCTGTGCTATGGTAGATGTGATAATTAAAACTGTCACTGCGGCTCAGATTTAACCATAGCATGATTAGCCGCGCCCACTGACCTAATTTCTTCAGGAACAAAGCCTAGGGGTATAGTGGAGGATTTTCACTTATTTTTTAAAAGACCCGCTCTCTCCACTTTAAAAAAATGCACATACACAACCATGGACCCACTCCCAAACGGAACGTCCATTAAATGTGTGTGAGAGCATGCAAAAGCTCATTTCTCATGGTGCACTCTCTGTTTAAAAGTTGCTGTTCTCATAGCTTAAACAAGCTTACTGTGTCCGAACGTTGACCCTAACCCCTAAATACCTCAATCACTCTATGGAGTGGGGACTAAATAGTGGACAAATAGCAATCTCAGTTAGCATTCGGTCAGTTGCTTTTTGCTCCCCATTGGTCACGTAACTCCGCCTCCACCATGCAGTGCCTGTGCCATCTTTGTTGACAGCCTATGGTGACAACAGGCAGCTGTGACACCAAATCCCATAATGCTTTGCGAGGAGAGCTTTCCGCTCAAAGCATTTCAGGATATATCTGCCTCTTCTGAGGCCTGTCTTTTCTTCTCATTCACTTTGTAGACAGTTTTTCTCTTATGACCCTCTGCCATTTTTAAAGAAACACGGTGAGAAAGGAGAGCTTCAATGAAACAGTAGCTCACCACAGATATATGTCTGAAAGTGTACATGCACAGAAAAAGATAGCTAATTGGGGATGAGCATGCAGGAAGGCCTTACGTAAACATATCACTAGAATGATTGACAATTAGGAGGACCACTTATTTAGATGATCCAACCAGAAAAAGAAAATCCTTCGCTATACCTTTAAAAAAAGTATATAATTACAGAATTAATCACTTAAATGTATCACTAGACATTCAAAATGCAAATAAACACATTAAATATCTTCTTAACTGAATTGCTATTAAAATAATACAACAGTAACCACAAACATTACTTTTATTTGCAGTTTTAGTACTTTGTTTCCGTATTAAAATTAATAATGATTTTTTTTTTGTTTTTCTGTCACACTGACCTGTTACAATCAGATTTTGGCAGAATCCTGCTAATGTGTCTAACGTAAATATGAGTCCTTTCGGGTACATTTTTAACCCACTAGATATCCACACAAATTACATATACATAATTATAATTACAATACATATTTTCTAAAGGCTAATATTTTAAAGCTATTAAATAGTGATGCCCCAAGATATAATTACTTAAATATTCAGCAATCAATCAGCTTCATGTTATTGAGGTGCAGATCCTCCCACAGATCCTTCTAGCTGCTTTTATAATCTTTGTTGCTCCATAAGGCCCAATGGTGTTTAAAAACATGCTGACTGCACAGGTTCTTGACCTGTATCTTACAGATGTTAATGACCATAGACATGTTAAGGGAAAAGCAGTGGTGATTCTAGACTAAATTAACCTTTTTCATAGCAGTAAAAAACAAAATTAAAACACACACACAAAAAAGAGCATAAACTGATATTTTAGTTTATTAAGTGAGTCCCAAATCAGTAATTTCTGTAATTTGTAAAGAATATATATTAAATTTTTTAAAAAGAGAAATAGAAGTTACAGTTGTCATTATCATTACAAGAAACCGATTTGGTATTAGTGCAAAAAATTATCTAAAAAAGTAAAAAAGTTTTAAAACCAGTATTTGAGCAGCTAAATAAGATGATCCACCAAAGGAAGGAGGAATTTGGCCCTTTTATATGCATAAATCATTGTATTGCATCTGCAAATTGTCCTCTATCTGCTTAAATCAAGGTAATATTTATATATTTAAGAAAAAAATGACTTAAATTTAAAAACGTTGCAATTTCTTTTTTTTTGTACAGAAGCCGTTAAGGGGCCAGGAGGAGGCCTATGGGGCCACTGGCACCAGTTGACCCCGAGGAGTGCTCATGTGGAAACAGATGCTAAAAATGATTTGCAGTTTTTCATCTGCTATGGACGTGTTTGTTTCTACAATCACTCTTCTTTGTCTTCTTTCCATATTAAACTTAGTAATTTTTACCTGATATGTCCTTTCTTTTTCTTTGTCAACATGTATTTATGAGTGGCCTATTATCCCTTTCCCTTTAGAATGTATCATTGGTTAGAGGAACCTGGCACACGAAAGTACAGAAGATGATTAGGGCCACTGAAAAAAAAAAAAAGCTAATTGATATTTAAATTTTGTTTCAGTTTAATATAGTTTTCAGTATAATTTCAGTTTAATGTAGACATGGCTACCATGAAGGAAGAGATGTGGGAGCACTCAGCTTCACTGACAAAAATGTGAGCTGTTTGGGACGGCCAGTAACACATTGATGGAAAATGACATAATTAGGCGACTTTTTATGTGCCCAAGGGGGTCCCTGGTGATTCTATTTCATTAATGGAAGAGCAGAAGTTGATTAAAACAAGAGAGACGGTCTAGTCTATAGACATGTCTACGGCTTGAGGCCAGCATGTTTGTTAGCTGTCAGCATTCAGTCAGAATTCACAGAGAAAAGTAAGAATTCTGAGATTAAAGTCAGAATTCTGAGAAAAGTCAGAATTCTGAGATTAAAGTCAGAATTCTGAGAAAAAAATCAGAATACTGAAATTAAAGTCAGAATTCTGAGATTAAAGTCAGAATTCTGCATCCCCCCCATATTAAACTGAAATGAAATTTAAAAATCGGTTACCTTTTATAAAAAAAATTTCAGTGGCCCTAATCCTCTTCCGTGGGAAAGCCCCCAGACTCAGATAAAATAAGCATATATATATTGATCTTTTGTACTCATCTTCCTGAACGCCATTAAATAAAAAGATTTATTAATAAGAAGTATAAAAAAAAAATGATGTGTGACTCTCAATTACCCAATCGGCATCAGAGGCAGCCACACCTCAGCCAATCACCCACCTGTGAAGCAGTGACGCTTCATGCATAGTAAAAAGGGCTCTTAAAGTCATACTCCCCCTTTTCTCTCATAAAGAATCGCGGAGAGCTTCCTTCAAGTACTATTGGTGTCCAGGGGGCAGACTGCCAGGGAATATATGGGGACAGACAGCCTGCTTGCTTGTAACACAAGGTCCCTTCATAGAATTAGCCACGCTCCGCTGGAGCCGCCTGGCTCCGCCCCCTAGGCCCCGCCCCCTTCCGTCCCTCAGACAACACAGCATCCATCCTCATGGGCGCACGCGCTGCGTGATCCACATCACAAACCGACTGAGCGGCAGCTCTGCCGAACCTCATGGAGTAGTAGGACTAGTAGTAGGTGGAGGTGGGCTGCCTTTTGTTACTCCTTCTCCTCCTTCCTGCATGGAGTCGCCCTTTTTTTCCTGGAATATCGCTGCATCCCTGCGCGGTAAGTGTCTGCGCTGCAGATGCTGTGGGGGAAACGGGACTGTGGAGCTATTGTCTGCTGCTGCTGAGCCAAGTTCAGATTCTAATCAAGACAAAAAAGCATGGATTGGATTTAATTATGGTGATCCAAATATTAATCAGAGTCGGTCTGTTATATTAGAGCATGTTGAAATGTGTATATAGTAGACAGAGTATTGTAATTTGACAGCCACCTGTCTTTGCACCAGCAACAGCGGACAGCCTGACGCTTATTTAAACCTAATTTGGACTATCCTTCAAGTCTCAGTGCAGCCTACTGTCAGCAAGAGGAAAGTGAGATCTTTCTTTTCTTGTATTCTTGCTTTATGCAAATGAGTCGCCTCGGTTGCCGAGCAAATTGTGTTTTCATCTCAACAGGGGAAAAAAATGTGGCCCATTTCCCCGCCCCCCCAACATCAGAGCCTGGCCATGTCTCCTCCAGCAGCACCAGCAGCCCTGCAAAGACACAGTTGATCCCTCTCAGATTGCTCCAAGACCAAATGCCTATTAGAAGGGGTCTTTATAGGGGTTTCAGGGCAACCTTAAAATTAGATCAAAAGTGCCATCATCGTGCTTTGATTGCTTCCTTTTTCATTGTGTTCTCACTGCAGTGCTATGTGTTTTCTTTATTGGATTGTGCAAGAGAAATAACATGCAGTTCAATATTTTTTTTTAATTATGAAGTGAAAATTAAGATTTAAAATGCTTCTAATGCTCATTTTTATTCGTGCCATTAACAGATTCCTCCTAATATAGGCTACAGTCCTAAGTTTTACTGTGTAAGGATGGTCATGCAAGTAAAGAGATCCAATGCTTGTTATCTTGAGTCACCTGCAGATCAAATGTTTGCCCGATCTTTACCCAGCTGTGTGCACACACATTTGCACTGAACCCTCCTTGTCTTGCATGGCTGAGCATTGAAGACGAGAATTCATCACCCACCCAGAGAGGCGGCATATTCCCACCTTCTATCCTAAGCATGCATCTTGCTGCATGTGCTTGTATGTTTATGGGTGTGTCTAAGCTCATGTCTGTTGTGTGGGCCAAAGCAGACAAGTAATGTTATTTAGCAGCCAGATGGCAGTTGGTTTACCATCAGGTGAGCCTTTTTTCTTGGCTGTCGGTATAGGATCTGGTTAATGCTGGATGCCTCTTGGATCACAGCCACAAGCTGCACTACTGTGCACCTGAGTGTGCCTGTATGTTGGTGCTTCCATATATAGTGAGCGTGCACTCACTTCTAAAATCGCTGCATATGTTAGTCGGCATATGTTTTGCGGATGCTTGCACATGTTTATTTCTTTTGTCTTTGCCTTTTTAATACTTTTATAGCTGGTTAGGCTGAGGTCATCGTGACATCATTTTCCTGAGGCATAATGATCACCAACAATGACTGTGTTGTAAAGGTAGAGTATCCTACACATGTAGAAGTCTAAAGAAGCATAGATGCTGGTTATATAATTTTTCATGTCTGAATAACTGAAACAGTGTTTGATTTTCAAAACTGTTCCTTCTACAAGTGCCATCACATTTTGATTTGAACAGTTCTTTTCTCTGATTGGTTGAATGAACACTAGGGGCACGACTAACAATGATTTTGCTAATTGATTCATTTGTTGATTATTTTTTCGATTAATAATCTTATAGGGAGAGAGTTGCTATAAGTTTTGCTTAGAAAAGATCTTTTAGAGAATTCAAGCCAGTTTAAACTAGACCTATTCGACTTGATGAGTTCTGGATGGAGCATATAAATGGTCAAATGCAAAATGTTCATAGTTTTTTATATTTTACCATTTTGATATAATTACTACTCTAAGTGGGTTGTTCTGTCAGTTGCAGCCATGTTTTAGAGTCTGTAAACTCCAATTGATTACGAAATGAGTTGACGTTTATTTCAGTTATTGGTTAATCAGATTGTTTTAGCACTAATTCACACATTCAATTATCGTAGTAGGGCTATTGTACTATCACTATGGGTGGAACGGTAAAAAAAGAAATCACGGTTCGGTACGTACGTCGGTATGGACCCTACGGTTCGGTACATTTTTGGTACAGTGCAGAAAAAAAAACATGACCAAAAGGCTATCCTCAAAGGCAGCTCGATCCTGCCTCCTCTACTGTGGAATATGCTCGCATAGCAGATGCGATGTAAATTCCAGTTGCTTCGGTTTTCTTTTTTGCTCTGCATGTATTTGTATCAAGTGGTTGTTGTAATGCATGTGGGATACGTAACTGGACACTTTTCTTCCGTCTCGTGCTGGTGATGAGGATATCTGGGTAGTGTCGTTTGATGTGTCAACATATTTTAAGTGTTCCCACTCCCGTAATGAACAGGTGTCCACAACGACGGCAGAGCGTCTTTGTTTTGTCAACCACTCGCTCTTCATTGCTATTATAACTCACAGGGAACCCGAAGTTATCCTCCACCACTGACTTGAATGATGATGGTGGTTCTTCTAATTCTTCGCCACTCACCATTGTTAGCACTCTCTTGCAACAACACAATCCAACAGCGATGCATTCCCACAGTGTCCAGTTTGTATTTAAGGTTGCGTTTACCGTCTAGACCAATCCAGGCATGTTTTTTTGTCTATGGACCAATCAGAGCTTGCAGGTGGTAGTGGTTAAATGGGTCCTGAAGGAAACTCGTGCAAAAGAACAGTTCCGCATCTAGATAAATTTTGCATGATAATGCGCATGCCGAATCGTGACCCTTGTACCGTGACGGTTCGGTACGAATACGTATACCGTGCCGGCCCTATATACTACCCTAAAAAAACAAAACCAAAACAAATTCAGAGCTATATTCCTACAAACTTTGAAGCAGTGATTTAAAAAATAAAAAAATCAGCATTTCTTCTTTTATGATTGGTCCTATAAGATTATGGTCCTGATTCTCTTTAGTAGGTAATAATAAAACTGTTTGCATTATGAACTAACTAATGCAGGATTGTGGAACAACTGTGATAAATTATGAAACCCAGACAGTTTTTTATATGTTGTTTAGTCTGTGGAGAAAGTCAAGCCACTTTAATCCAGTAAGTATAGCTGCAGGAGGGGAAAGCTTACATGGCTGGTGATCTTGATTGATTGCTTTGTGTGATGTGGAATCACAAAGTGATCAGTAATCAGGGAATGATGGTTGTGTTTTTATTGTGGATGTAAATTAGAGAAACAAAAATTAGTTAGAGACTGTTGAAAGACTTTCAGTTACGCATAGGTCACATACAGTCTTAACATACTGTACAGTCAGAGCTACAATGGAAAGATTAAAGTAAAAATATCTTTGAAGTGTTGTTAAGTCCAGACCAATATCTAATTGGTATGGAATTGGAGTGTTTCTTAAAGCTCATGTTTTAAAGCACTTTGCACTGTCGTTTTGTTTTTGTTTGTTTTTTTAATTGAACAGGGAATTTTTTACAGTTAAATCTTATCAATGCAACGAACTATCAGAGGCAATTCTGCAGGACAGAATCCCGTCCACCGAGTTTGGTTAAATAATTCACCTCTTGGTTGGTTCCTGAGTAATGAATCATATCATGCGCATGAAATTTAAGATGCATCCTGTCCAGCTGTTACAGCTTGCTTACAGAAACTGGATACTGTTTATGCCATCTTTTTAAATCTCTTGAACCGTTCATCTAGATTTGCCGTCGTGATCACGAATCATTACGTCAAAAATAACTTTGATGAGAAAAGTTAGAGTTTTGCAAATAAATATTTTCATTAGGGAATTCCTTATGCTGACCTTTTTTAAGTAATCCGATTTTAGTAAAGCTGCTAAAAAAAGAACTGACATTTGAACCCATCTCTAAGATCCAGGCTTCGTTACCCTCAGAAGGGACCGACTATTGATTTCCACACACATGCATGCTGAACCATGCATGAACCTCTTCCATGGCTAGACGTTAGCAGGAACTTGATTACATCTAGACATGGGGGGCAGAGTTATTAGTGCAGTGGTGGTGTCTCTTGGGTAATGGATCTGTCACAGCAATGCCCCCTGGGAATGATCGGCCCTGTTGGGCGAGATTAGACCTGCCTCTGGAGAATGAGTGATCCTGCCTTTATTTGAAAACGCTGATACATACAGGTGATAAATCTCACAGAGGAAGAGGTTCAATAGTTTGGAAACATTTTCAGTATTTTAGATATTTCAACAAAATACATATTTACTTTGGAATCACTCAAATATACATACAGCATATCTATAAAATGTTTCTGTAGGAAAATTTTTCCTAAAATGAAAAATAGAATAAAAAAAGAAGGGCTGAACCAGGGCCAATAATGAGGTTCAGAACTAGGACAAATCTGCAAAGAAGTTGCACTGCGCTCCATGTCTCTGTACCTCTGCAGAGCAGCATTTTCTATGGAGGAAAAGGCTGCTTTGCAGTGCTGTCCCTCTAGTAACTAAATTTAATGGGATATCTGGGAAATTTACAAAGTGAGTTTTTGAGTACCGGTAGTTGTCAGCATACATATTCTCACATTGGTTTAAGCTAATTGCTAGATTACAGCAGATTCAGTCATTTTTTTTTAATTAGTTCCAAGAAAATCTATTTCAAGGCGTTTTAAAAGATAAATGTATGCAGTTTGTTAGGAGAATATATAATCCCAAGAGTTTATACATATAGGAAGTAAGGGTGTGCAAAATAATGGTCATGACGATGCATCGCGATTAAAATTTTTGTGATCTACTGCATCGATTCTTGAAGGCAAGAATCGATTATAAAAAAA